TCCTCGCTGGGATCTGCAATGCACGACGTGACTTATTTTGAGCCAACCTCGTAGGGACATGCTAAAAAAATTGATGACCAATACAGTATTTCGCTGACGTACGGTTTCGCCACTGTTCTTGTCATTCCTGATCTCAGGGCCCCTTTGGACAAAATTGCTCAAGATATTGATCACAAGTTTATCACTCATGCTCAGGCAACCCCGAACTGGACTTCCCCCATGCCCCAGTCTCCCCTTTCCCTGAACTGCAATCCTGTCTACCTCTTTATCATTCACACTAACCATCTAATAGTTGTGGCGAAAGACTGGCGGTGAGCGTTAAGCGTCACGAATTACTGTACGCTGAAGCGATTGTGCTATCGTAAAACTGATCTCGCAAAACAAGTGATTGTGCGATTATGTTGTAAAGAGAATGTCCACGTTCTATCGATAAGATACCGTAGCCATCACTGACGATTACATTGGCTCAGGTAAATCGCTGCGGTCGCCCTGACGCACATCGCGGTACGCCTTTATTTAGCGCTGTAAACGAAGCCGGTTGTAAAGTCGTCGCGAGTGCGCAATGCCAGCATAAACACGCTTCTTTGCGGCGCCCTACAGCCGTCGCAGGACAAACGATAATTGTGCGCTGATCATACGGTAGCGCTCACTTAATGGTTGATGGAGCGTTAAACGTACTTGATCGATCTTTTTCTGAAGGGTAGTCATGGAACTAGAAGGCGGGAGGTACTTGGTGGGCTAGGCTGGAATGGGCGCTAATCGCCCTAGTACCTAAAATAGCCTGCAATTTCCAAGCCCATTTTTGTGATGCAATTGATCAGGCTACGACTGGTGCATTCTACTCGGTCTCAGTTAGGCTGAGTTGAATTTTACCCGAAAACTTTACTATCAACTCTCCACTGCTTGCTCTTATGGGAAGCCATTTGAGCTAAGCTCTACTAAGGATCCACAAAGGTAAAAACCCATGTCAGCTAAATTAAGATAACGATGATTCTCATAAACGTCATGACATTTCCACAAAAATGTTATTCCACTTGACCTTATGTGCCTCGATTATAATCACCTGTGAAGAAGATGCCCTTGGAAGCTCTGGAAATGTAGCCATTTAGCTTGACGTACCTCTGAATGTCGCGAACTCAAAGCTGTACACAGCCGTACGTAGGCTGGTAAGGTATATGGAGGATGCAAGGTGAAACTGACCCCTCGGAAATGGCCCTTCATGAGAAGAACTATGCTCCTTTCCCCTTCCAATTTGACAGTTTTCACTATATTATGCCCCGGCGGTACCAGGTGGGCTTCTATATTGATAGATGGCTCAGCACTGAGATTGCATTGTCTTTCTGGAAGGCCTAAACACCGTCCAAGATCTGGAAGTTGCTCCCAAGGTTCGTGAAGGAGAAGCCTCAAGTGCTACCGCTGAGGACAGCACCGTATCTTTGGCATACCGATAATGGTAAGTGCAGAATTGCGTCTTCCTGCACATGCGGTGGTGCTCTGGCTGAGTGGCTTCTCCAACCCGGGAGTTTCGCTTATTCTCCTGATATTCAGTCAGAATCCCTTAGTAGTTCAGGCGTTCGATGGCGTAAAGAGAGCAATTCTAAACTTGAGCCATGTTCAGACCTCTGAGGAACACGGCAGGCCAATATTAGTAGATG